ACACTTGAATAAAATAAAAATAGATTATCGACTACATTCCAAGTGTTTTATTTGTCATAAAGAACATATATGATTATGTTGTAATAATATAATTTTATTACATAAATGGTGTGTTTGGTACGAAGAAAAATGGTTTACATGGAAATATTTCAAAAGCTTCTTGTTTTTTACAATTTTATTTTATAACTCAATCACATAAGTTAATATTATATACGTAAATTATTTTAAATTTTATACTCATCAGTATTACTACACGCGCAAAGCGCGTACCTTAATACTAGTAATAAAAAATATACGAGGTACTGCGAAATATATTTCCCCTGCATTAAAAATTAAAGAGAAAATCTCACTTTATACCCATTAATTCCAAACTATTTACCCTTTAATGTGACGACCCAAAGGGTCATCACCGGATTTCTCTCTTTTCCCGTGCTTCCGAGGCCTTGAAAACCTCACCTTTAGTTGCCTCGATTTGCGTGCGCAGTCCGGGCGCGTAGCCGGAAAGATTATATGTTAAATTCTGTAAAAAATTTCAAAATGTGGCTTTAAAATGATTAAAGTTGACTTCGGTCAATATTTTTGGTAAACGGACCCGGACCCGTGATTTGACGGTCCCAGAGGGTCCGTAGAAAAATATGGGACTCGGGCATATGCCCGGAGTCGAATTCCGAGGTCTAGAGCCCGGGAAAAGAATTTTTCTGTTTAATTGTTTTTCTAAAATTAGTAAGGAAAATGGAAATGAAAATTGATTAAAAGACTATGGTATCGGGCTCGTATTTTGGTTCCGACGCCCTGTACAGGTCTTAAATATGTGTTAAGCGCTTTCTTTAAAGTTTGGTCGAAAACGGACGTCATTTGGCTTGTTTCGGACCTAAATATCTAAAGTTTGAAGTTTGTGAAGTTAGAATGAAAAATGATGATTTTGAGGTTTGATTAATTGATTTTGATGTTGCTTTGGCGATTTGATCGCTCGAGTAAGTTCGTAGGATGTTGTTGAGTTAGTGTGTGTGATTGCTTGGGAGCCCGAGGGCTCGGGAGTGTTTTCGGAGGTGTTCGGGGTATTTTTGAACTTAGAAAAAGTAGCAGATTTCCTGCAATTTTTACACGGTGCTTTCCTTCTTCGCGATCGCGTCTTTCAGCTCGCGTTCGCATAGCCTTGGCCTTCCCTTCATCTCGTTCGCGGACTAGTCCTCGCGTTCGCGTAGTAACAACCTCTTCTTCATCGCGTTCGCGTACCCCATCTCGCGTTCGCATAGTACAAGTCCTGGACCCAGCCTTTCCCCCTTCTACGCGTTCGCGATAAGTCTTTCGCGAACGCGATGTTCCCAGTCCTCTTTCTTCGCGAACGCGTCACCCCTGTCGTGAACGCGAAGGTCAAAAACGCCCAGTGATTTTGTTAAAATTACAGAAACAGTAGCTTCGGATTTTCCTCATTTTTCCACACGAACTCTTCTCCCTAACACCCCATAGACGATTTTGAAGAGCCTTTTCCTCCATAGCTTCTTAGGTAAGTGTTCTTAACTTCATTCTCTATTAATTTCTTCATCTAATCACTAATTTCCTAGCCCTAAATCATGAATTCAAAGTAGAAATTAAGGGTTTTGGGTAGAGTTAGGGTTTTGGAAATTTTGGGTGATTCAACCTCAATTTGGGGTCGAATCTTAAAACAAATTATATATTTGAACTCGTGGGGTTATGGGTGACTAGGTTTTGGTCCGAGCCTCGTGTTTGGACCATGTGGGTCCGGTGTCGAATTTTGGTATTTTTGGAAGAATGCTAGAAAACTCATTTCTAGGCTATGGGATTATGTTGTTGAGCCCTAATTGATATTATTGAATTAATTATGCCTAGATACCATTGTTTCGAAGTCCAATTTTAGAGGAAAGGCGGTATTGGAGAGTTGATTGCTATTCTTTGGACCGAGGTAAGTGTTTGATCTAACTTTGGCTTGAGGGAATAGGATTAGAGTGTTATTAATTGCTAATTGCTAAATGATCGAGTACGGTGTATAGGCATGGTGACGAGTATCTATACACCGGTGTCTAGCATGACCGTGGGTCGTTGTTTGCACGTATTTCTGATATTTTGAGACTCTTCTATGCTAATTGATGAATTCTACATAATGTGAAGAGTTTGAGGATTGGTTATGAATTGTAAATTCTTTGGAGCGTTGGCTCGAACAATAAAAATACTATTGAGTAAGAAATGAAAGAAATGGAAAGAGATATGATTAATCCCTTGCCGGGATGGTTTTAGTATATTGATTATCTCCCTTGCCGGGATGTGAAAGTTGTTGTTGTTACTCCCTTGCCGGGATTTAGCTGTTTAATTGTGTTATCCCTTGCCGGGACATTTCTTATTATTTGCTTATTCCCTCACCCGTTTGGTTGTGATTGTTGGTTGGGTGAGGAAGAGTGATAATGCACGAAGGGTCATTCCGTGC